CGTTCTGACACTTCCTGTTATAGGGTGACAACGCTCTGTCCTCGTTCTGACACTTCCTGTTATAGGGGGACAAAGCTCTGTTCTCGTTCTGACACTTCCTGTTATAGGGTGACAACGCTCTGTCCTCGTTCTGACACTTCCTGTTATAGGGTGACACCGCTCTGTCATTGTCTCCCAGTAAAATCATAGATTCATAAAATCTCATGTCCAATAAACATGTTGATCCCGCTCATGTCCCCAGTCACAACGTAATAAAACTCTATTATTATTATTATATTTATATAATATATGATAATAGGATATACAGGATTTATAGAGCGCCAACAGTGTGCGCAGCGCTTTACAATATAAGGAAGACATTACAATCACAATACAATTCAAGACAAGATGGTAAGGAGGGCCCCGCCCCTGAGGGCTTACAATCTATGTACGCGGACCACGGATGCTAACTGGACTGTAGAAGATTTTGGCATTTAGTGAGTTCACATATAATTCGCGGATGAACATTCCAAATAATCCCGAAGACAGAAAAGCCTCATCGACCCCCCCGGGACGGTCGGATGAGAAATATAGGACATGTGAAGTTTGTTTTCTCTGGGAGGACCTAGAGGAGGAAATCTCAGATTCATTCACCGACTGTCTGCAATAGAATTCCATTTCTCACCTTCAGTGTTGAACTATTTTTATTTTAGTGGAATGAAGAAAAAGCTCCGCCCACTCAGTGTGGTTCTATGGCATCTAAACCTGTTCTGAGGTCCCGTACAGGACCATTAAATCTCTGATTACAGAAAGAGCAAAGCAGCGCAGCCACAGGTGGACAGGGAGGAAGTATATCACTTCCTGCAGGAAGTACAACACGCGGGGGAGATCTTTTGTTCTGTACATTTGGCCTCCCTGTTTACAGCTTACTTAAATCTTTTCTCTGAGTCTGCTGCAAAGTTCTTTCCACAGAGATCCTGAAAGTGACAGCACTTCCTGTTGCAGGGTGACAACGCGAAGTCGCCACCTTGCAGTTAGCCGTAGCATTGTCACCCTCTCAGATGCAGGTTCTGTCCTATACAGTTGGGGGATCTTTGTTTACATAAGGTGTGCTAGAACTGAATGCGCATAGTCACAATACACAGAGTGCAGTGATTGGCTTCCCCCAATTCATCCCTGTACTGAACGCACGCTACATTTTTCAATGCATAATGTTTCAACTTTTTTTTTCTGCTTTTTGCATGTTAACCTGTGCTCAGTGTTCGCCATTGTGTTACTGTGCAGTTGACATTACAACAGGGATAAGTCTATAATTTTGACACTTTACACATCACTGGTTCGGCCTCACCTGGAGTATGCGGTGCAGTTTTGGGCACCGGTACACAGAGGGGATGTCCTTGAACTGGAGAAAGTCCAGCGAAGGGCGACCAAACTCATCAAAGGGATGGAGGACCAGAGCTATGAGACACGGTTACTAAATTTAAATATGTTCACGCTGGAACTAAGGAGATTAAGGGGGGACATGATTTTCATGTACAAAATGTTCCATAGTCATAGCGACATTAGCAACAAACTCTTTACGATTAATTCCGTAACTAAGACTAGAGGCCACCACCTGAAACTGGTAGAAAAAAAATTCAAACACAAGGGGCGAAGGGGATTCTTCTCAGTTCGCGCAGTTAGGGTCTGGAACTCGTTGCCTCAAGCAGTGATTTCATCCAATAGTCTGGAATAATTCAAGAGGCTTTTGGACGATTTCCTGAGAAACGGTAATATACAGGGGTACAAGTACTCCTAAAAACGAGATGACTCGGGGATCTTTACACACACACACACAATAGGTTGGACTTGATGGACATGTGTCTTTATTCAACCTCAAATACTATGTAACATTCCATGTCATCTTGTATAAAAGATGACACCGCATGGGCAAAAGTTTGTGAACCCCCCTACACTGATGGAGTTCAGGTGTCTCCAGTGAAGGTTCTATTCATTCTACATCATACAAAGACATTGTAGACAATTGTGTTCCTCCAGCCTTGTGGTCACAGTTTGGTGCAGACTCTTTCCTGTTGACTATCCACCATGACTATCCCAGTCTACAAAGCCAGCTACATACAGACATGGTGTGACCAGTTTGGTGAAGACCCTTTTCTGTTCCACCATGACTGTCCCCCGTGTACAAAGCCAGCTCCATACAGACATGGTGTGACCAGTTTGGTGGAGGAACTCGAGTGTCCTGCACAGAGCCCTGACCTCAACCCCACTGAACACATTTGGGATGAATTGGAATGTCGATTGTGAGCCCGGCCTTCTCATCTAACATCAGTACCTGACCTCAGAAATGGGGCAAATTCCCACAGACACCCTCCAAAATCTTGTGTAAAGCCTTCCCAGAAGAGTGGAGGATGTTATAGCCAAAAAGGGAGGTAACTCCATATTATTGGCTGGGGGGAAGGGGGCACTCAATATTAATGGCCATGATATTGGAATGGGATGTCCAACATGCTCATATGGGTGTGTTGGTCAGGTGTCCACAAACTTTGGCCCATGTAAGTGGGTATTGTTAACATTTAGAAACAGACCTAAGGTAAGTGTCGTGTAGGTGAAGAAGGAAACAAAAATGCAACCAGAAGCCACTAAACAATCAGTTCCAAATTACATCACTTTAGGCAACTTCCATGAGACCACTAGCATGGTCCACTACACTGGCCATGTATTTTGTTTGGTGAGGTCTTTATAACCTCTTCCTGTCCTCTACATCAAGGAACTGACACGGTCTATGGGGGTAGCTGGAGCTTCTCCTCTGCAGTCAGGCAAAGCACGAATGGAGCTATGTGGGTCAACTCACATGGAAACATCAAACCTCATCATCTCACTATAGCAACTGTGGCTCCTGATTCAAGTAATACAAGAAATACGGCAAAATCTTCATCATCAACAATGACTGAACGACCAACAAGAACATCACACATCTGCCTCATAATCATTTCTTTACAAGGCCAATCCTCTGCTCAGATATGTACTAGGAATTCTAAGGAAAGAAGGAAGGAAGGAGAAACTTCAGCAAAGGAAGGGAAACAAGTAACAAAAGGAAGTAAGCAAAGAAGGTACTAGAAATTGTAGCGGAGAAAGCTCAACTGGAGCTATGTAGGTCAACTTAGATGGACACCAAACCTCATCAATCCCCCATAACAACTGGAGCTCCCGATTCCAGTAATACAAGAAATATAGCAAACTCTTCATAATCAATAATTGACTGATCGACCAACAAGAACATGACACATCTGTAGGAAAATATCCACTACAATGACAAAATGGAGGACATCTCATAATCATATCTTTACAAGACCAATCCTCTGCTCAGAGATGTACTAGGAATCCCAGGAAGGAAGGAAAGAAGGTAGAAAGAAACAAAAAATGTTAACAAAGGAAGGGGGGAGGGGGGGTGACACAGAAAGAAGGAACTAGAAACTCTAGTGGAGATTGGACAACTGGAGCTATGTAGGTCAATGTGCATGGAAACATTAAACCTCAATATCTTCCTATAACAACCAAATAAGCACAAAAAAAAACAAATCTTTCATCAGCAACAGTGTCGGAGGTTTCAACAAGAACATCACTGATCTGCTGGAACATATCCACTGCAATGAGAAACTGGAGGAAACCTCATAATCATTTCTTTACAAGACCAATCCTCTGCTCAGAGATGAACTATCAGGTCTATTCACAACAGGGTGAAGGGTTTGGAGAAGGCCGGAGAAGTGAACAATCTAGGACAACATCGCTGAACTGGAAAGTGAGCTGCATTAAAGAATGTTTCCAAATCAGCTATGTTGTCCTAGATTGTTCCCTTCTCCGGCCTTCTCCGGCCTTCTCCAAACTCTTCACCGTTCTGTGAATAGACCTGTTAGAATTCCAGGGAAAGAAGAAGAGAAGGAAGCAAGGTCAGAAGGAAGGTAAGATGGAAGGAACAAAGGATGAAACAACTTCAGCAAAGCAATAGAAGGAAGAAACTAGGAACTTCGGTAAAAGGAGGGAAGAAAACAAAGAAGGAACAGGAGCTATAGGTCAACTTACATGGAAACATCAAACCTCATCATCTCCCCATAACAACTGGGGCTCCTGATTCAAACACAGCAAACTCTGCATCAGCCACAGTGACTGACCGACCAACCAGAACATCTGCTGGAAAATATCCGCTACAATGACAAAATGGAGGACATCTCATAATCATTTCTTTACAAGGCCAATCCTCTGCTCAGAGATGTATTAGGAATGCGAAGGAAGGAAACCAAGAAGGAAGGAAGGAAATAAACAAGGAAGGAAGGAAGGAAGGAAGGAAGGGAGAAACCTAAGAATAGGAGAGGAAATAAGTAATTAGAAACTTCAACAAAGTGTGGGAAGAAAGCACAAAAGGAAAGAAGCAAGGAAGGAAAAAGAAAGAAAGAAAGGAAAAAGAAAGAAAGAAAGAAAGAAAGAAAGAAAGAAAGAAAGAAAGAAAGAAAGAAAGAAAGAAAGAAAGAAAGAAAAAACTTCAGCAAAGAAAGGAAAGAAAGTACAGAAGGACCGGAGCAAGAAAGAAAGGAAGCAGGGCAACAATTTCTATATATGTTTACATTAGCAGGGTGATTTCTTGATAATGCTTCACTTGAGTTCAGTAAAGGAAGGGAAGGAAAAGGAGAGATGGAAGACCAAACGAATGGAAAGAAGGCAGGCGGAAGGAAAGAAAGAAGTTCCATCAGAGGAAGGGAAGGAAGTCAGAGATCTCTATGCATGTTTACATTACCAGGATGAATCCCACTGCTGATTTAGAACTTGGAGGCAGAAGTTTCCATGCAAAGTTTACTCTATAGATATAAAATCCCGGAAGGTTGCAGAGTTTTGCCCTCTCCTCCACCTGACAGTACAGATGATTCCACACTGGACCCGTCAGAGCTCCTTTGAAGCCCATATAATGGAAGGAAACCAATTCCTACACTTTGATATCATTTATGAACGTCCCCGGGGAGGATACTCACACTTCTGCACCTTGGCGCACGCAGGGTTCTGTCGCAGATCCCGCTCATCCTCTAGAAGTACTCTGAAAAGTTTAAGCGGATTAGGGGAAGATTATCTCTGATAGACTCTTAGGGATCACAGACTTTCCTGACCTCTGACAGATGGAGCCGCCAGGAGGTGACCAAACAAAGACAATAACACCGGAGACCACTAAGGTTAGACCCGCCCCCCACATCTCATCTGTTGGTGTCTCTGCGCTCCGCTATCCTTTACATTGGCCCAATCTTTCTTATTTGAAGGGAGATCATGTTTGATCCAAAAAAGCATTGGCTATTGTATGTGATCATTTTATAAACAATTGGGGCTCATGTACCTGTAGGGTTGCCACCTGTCCAGGATTCACCCGGACAGTCCGGGTTTTGAATGCTGTGTCCGGGTTTCATGGCAGCAGAAACCCGGACACAAGTTGTCAGGCAGACAGGGGCAACCAAAATTAAGATAGGGGCTACTGGCCCGCCACTAAAAATAGTCTCAACTGTGATATTTACATAGTAATGGGTGGCTCTATTACATATGAATAAGCAACGACTCGTTCTCCCCCAAAAAACGTCAGCGCGTCGCTAGAGTATGTTCGGGTTTCGCTTGAACAAAAGGTGGCAACCCTATGTACGTGGGTGCAAATACAGGCGTATTTATTTAGCAGTTTGCCTATATGCCTTTATGTGCACTGGGGTGCATCAGTCTCCCCTCGCCCAATGGTCAGTCTGCTGCATGCAGGAGGAAGCATTTCCTCAGTCTCCACTCTCCCAGTGAACAGTCTGCTGCAGACAGGAGAAAGCATTTCCTCAGTCTCTCCTCCCACAGAGATCAATCTGCTTCAGGCAGGTGGAAGCATTTCCTTAGTCTCCCCTCCCCCAGTGATCAGTCTGCAGCAGGTCTAGAATGTATTCAGAATGCTGATTTTCTTTCTGATTACTCATCAATGGCAACATGAATGTAAGAAACTCAATACAATCTCTGCAGGGTCACTATGTGCTGCACAGTGTAGAGACATTATGGAGCATTTCATAGATTTGCTAAGAGGACAAAAAGACAGATGGAGACGGAAGCTTTCACTTCCCTAAATCATTCTCTATCTGTTCTTGTGAAGAATTTGTGACTCCAATGAGAAGGATGGAACCAGAAGCCGCCGAGCTCCGATACCAAACCTTTGTGGGTGCCAGTCAGCACTTTACTATAGTGCAGAGTTTTGTTTTGTTTTTCTTTAAAGAGCCCCTGTCACCAAAGAAACTGACACTTCATGGAGTGTCGGGTGGAGAACCTTTCGGGCCGCACACAGTACCCCACCCTCACCTTCTCTCCCAACATCAACATGTGCTTCAATAGCATGTAGGAAACTCTGAAAAGATTGTCATTCAATCCAGCTACATTGTTGCAGCTCTGTATTCACTAACAGGCGATAGGATATATTTATAAATCCAAGCAATGTAATTATGTGACTGATCCTCATGCACCTCACTACACAGCAGCACACAGAGCAGAAGAGAAAGAAGCAGCACAAGGAGCCAATCAGGTGCGCCTCAGTGGTGACAGGAAGAGAGAGAGAGCAGAGTGACACAAATGAATGCAGACCTGTATTCAGTGACACGTCATTAAATGCGCTTTTTCAAAGCTAGCAGTGTAATTATCTAAATCTGACACCGTATCTGCCTCTTGCAGTCCCTGCACAGCAGAGCTCAGGCTGTAAGAGGTAGAAGCAGCGCAAGGAGCCAATCAGTTGTGCTGCAGTGCTCATGTGCTATCTATGGGCAAGCTGATAGGAGGAGAGAGGAGAGTGATGAGCTCATCAGTCTGCTGCTTCTCCTTTCACTGTCCAGTCGCAGGTTGGGGCAAGAGACAAGACCTGTAGGTGTTACTAAACTGCAACAGAAAAACAAATAGGTCTCTGGTTCTGATTGATGCGTCCAGGGACGGACAGCAAACTATTCCTAACCGCATGTAATGGAATCACATACAATTCCATGCGGAGTGCCACCTTCTGCCGCTTTCAAATGCGGCCGCTGTCACCAGATCAGAATGGCTGACAGCCGCCGCTTCTAAATGGCATATTTGGGATTCCTGCTGCAGGTATTTGCAGGTTCTGATGCAGGAATACCCAATTGCGCATAGGTGTGAATGAAGCCTAAGAAATGGGGGAGGGGCTACCCATGAGCTATTTGTCTTGGACCCACCCATTTCTTAATTAGGCCCTCCCACATCATGCATTGAGCAGATCAATAAGAAGGTTGCTGGGTACAAGTATATACATGTGCACACGGCATCCCACATTCCAAGTGGATCAATTATCTTCATAGAGTATCCTTGTTCCTCTAAATGTCCCATTACAAGGGACGGGCCCGATGTCTCCCAGCCCTGGAGGTCGCATAGCAGTGTACAGATATTTACATCAACTACAGGGCTCATTTATAGAAGACTGCTATGGCCTCCGGGACTGTGTGATATAAATAAGGAAAATATAAACAGATAACACAAAAAATGAAACATTTAAAAATAAAAGAAACAATGTTTACAAACAACATTCCGAGCCGGGAATCCTGCAAAATGCATTTCCATTGTACAGAATCCGGGGCTGTTCCTGGAAGGGAAGTCTAATGGTCATGTTAGGAATGAGGTTCGGGTTCCCCGATATCATGTGTTAGAGCGGCGGCACCAGTCTGGGTTTCACTGGGTGCGGCCCCACATGCGTTATGACGCCCGTGGTGTGATGTCATCATGCATGCGCGGTGAGGCCAGCTTGGTGATGGACACTGGCAAAGGTAGGAGGGGATATTGACATGGTGGGATCAGCTGGGTCCCCCCCCCCTCTCTGCTGCCGCTGTCAGGCTCCCAGTCCATGACCAAGTGCTCAACATTTAAAGGAGAACTATGAGGGGGGGGGGGGGGTTTCCACTCACCTCATAGTTCTAGCCGACCTGTGACAATGAGACTGTCACAGGTCGGCTCAGTAGATCGGGAGGTGAGCGAACACATACCAGGTTCGCTCACCTCTCGA